TAGTTAATACTCCTGACAACGCATTGACAGGTAATTAATAAGTACCTTTCGTGTCAGTAGACGAACAGCCTGTTCTGGCTGCTCCAAGAACGCCGAGAACTTCGGCAGACAAGCTCATTAATACCAGAATGAAGGTCAAGATGGCTCTGAATAGATTAAATGTTTTCACCACATTTTTTCCCGTGTTCCTTTCCTGTCCCAGGATGTTGCAGATTACAGCTCTAGCGGCAAGCCTGCTGCCAGTGTTCGCCCACCAAGTTCAGCCTGCACGGACGTGCCTCCACAGCGGTGTTCAAAATGAAGGACGAAAGTGTTAAAAACGAACACTTCTAGCCTCTAGTAAGAAACCACATTCCCTCACCGACTGACGACTGCGATAATGCCTTCTTTGTGCTAATCAAGAGAATGTGACCTCTGTCAGAAAACAAACTGTGAGCAGTGATCTGCCTCTGTCACAGCCTTGGCATTGAAGAGAAAAAGGAAGGTAGAGACTAGCAGGGTGGACACTGTCAGTGTGATTTGATTAATGCGCATGATCTGATACCCAATCAGATAATAAAACACCCATAACATTACAGTATTTTCATAACGCAGTCAATATGGCTTATGATTGTCCAAGAAAACTACTGGCCGCACTTTTGAAAAAGAGTTCCTTTTTTTTTTGCTGCAACCCTCTCTCCCTGCAGCACAGCTACTACGCACTTCCTTCCCAACTAACACATTTGGGTAACATTTTAAAAAAATTAAAAAAAAAAAAAGAATTTAGAAAATAATGGGCCTGACATTACTTCCACGTTCTTACTCTTACCTTATCTTAGGGCACCTGCAGCCTGGAAAAGCTGTTGTGCCAACTCTTGAATTGTTACTGGGTAAAGTCACCCCATAAAACGGAAGCCTGAACCATCCAATCTGATAAGACATTCATCTTGTGACAGTACCTTTACCTCCTTTAAAAAATTAAGTCCTGGAAAAGGCTAAATGAAAATACTGAGTATTGTAAACATACGTTCTTACTTAAAAAGAACCAAAAAGCTCAAACGATGCATTGTAAGAAAACAGTCAGTTAATTAGTGCAGCGGTGCTGGAGATTTCTGGAAACGCTGTTCATCTTTGTTGACTCCTAGGTTTTCCTAACAATTTCAAATGGCAAATGTCAACTATGAGAACATTAAGTAAAGTAACAGGACGGGGACGTTACACAGTTACACAAAAGAATGCATTCCTCGAGCTCAGTTGTGATCTCAATTTCAGTTTCATCTTGCAGGTTTTTGCCCTCTTCTGCCACCATGTGTCAGGCTAAAGTATTATATGATATACAGGAAAAATAAATCACACCAATAATTCAGTGATAAAGAACTATCCTCCTAAATGTTTCCCATATTAATAGGCAATGTCACCAAACTGAAAAGCTAGGTGGGAAGAAGGGCAGGTTACATATAAAATTCTTCAGAAAGATAACCAAATGTATGTAATTTCTATAAATGACATTTGCATTTGCTGATGATGGCACAAAACACTAAGGCTTAAAAATTATTATTATCAAAGGTGACTTTCTTCTTCATTTCTTGTATTGTCTTTGCCTTTACTTCTCAAAGGGGTATTTATGTTGTTGGCTTCAACCGCATGTTTGAACTTAACACCTGCTTAGTACAGGCATGTTCTCTTGACGGTGGAGGAACACACCATACATCCATGCTAGAGGTACTATTCTGACAACAGTCTTTGTTTTAATGCCTGTTTTTTATTCTATGGTAAGAGTCAGTTTTTAGGGAATAGTATATCTGATATTTTACCCTCCAGCAACAGTGTTAGCTCATTGTACTGCATTTTAGTAAAAATAAAAGAAGTAAGAAAAAGAAGAGGTTAAGTGATCTAAAATTAGTCCTTGTGCCTTAAGTCCTAGGCAACCCTCTACTTTAGCAGCAAGTTACTCATTTTTTGCCTCTCTTCTGCTTTAATAAAGGCTTTTGTGACTCTTGCTTTTGAAAATGACATCTATTAGGTTCATAAAGCCCACCCGTGTTCTGCTCTCATTGGCGAAGAAATACCATACCTACTGTTTAGATGAGTCATCAGTAAGGTCTTCCACAGACTGATAAATATTTCAGGGCACATAAACATGCCTTCAGTTTTAGCTTGAGCACATCCTTCAAACGTATGGTAGTAGCAACTCTCTGTTACTGCCTCCACATGCAAGCATCGCCGGTGGAGGCACAAATTAATTCCCGAGAGGTGCTTTAAAAAGCTCTTCCTTGCTGCTGTGCAGCCGCTGAGCCAGTCTTTCCTCCATGCTACCCAGAGGAAGGGATTCGTGCTCCCGGCGGGCGGCTGGCGCTGCCCTGGGCAGCTTCCCGGTCGTTCAGGGCGCCAAAGCAAGGCTCAGCAGGCGGAAAAGTTATGGAATTAGTGTCCACGCTCAGACGAACGGGCTTAACTAACCATGGGAACATTTCCCTATAGAAACCTCAAACCTACTCTGAATTTCCCCGGCTACAAGGACCCCTGGCTGCCAGCTGCAGAGCTGCGGCATCTGCTCTGCTCGTCCCTTCGGGAAGCAGGGAGACAGGCTTCCGCAGAGCTGCGGCAGAGCGGCACGAGGGATGAGAACTCGCTAATTCATTACTTACAGGCAGTTTAATTTTAGAGCAGTCACACAAGGGACGGATGACAGGGCTTCTCTTTTTTTGTCATTTTCTAGCTAACTTGCTGCAGTTCTTCCCTGCAGACCACTCAGAACTGCACACTTCTGTCACTTTTCTTGGAAAGCCACCGACTACTCAAATTATATTCTTGTCCTGTAATATTATCAATAAATCCAACATGATTTTTTTCTCCTCACATTTTTCAGATTACATAAATTTTAGCTGACCCATTCTTTTCATGCTCAAATATATTATGAAATGTCATTTCTGTTATAAAAGCTAATTGATAACATGATTTGTTATGTTGGTGGGACATAATTCAGAAAGTTATTTTAAAGCCGTTGATACATGGAATAGCACTAACTGTTTAATATTTCTTGTATGAATGGATACAGCACAGGGGAAAGATGTGGTGCCATGTAGATGAAATATTTTCAGAAGCTTTTATTCTTGTTGTTTGGGCTTGTGCCAATGCCTTTCTAGTAGAAAGCTCATATGTCCTAAGCTGTTTCTGCTACAATTTATTCCTTGGTCATTAGTTAGTGGGATTTTTTTCCTTTCAGTGGCTGAACGATATGTGATATTTTAAAAATTAAAAACTCACATTCAAATAAGTGGAGTGCATTCTCTCAAGTGCCAAAGAATAAGCCTTCAAAAAGTAGAAAAGTTATTTTAATTAAAATTATTTGTACCACAAGGTTAATACTAGAACTTGCCTTTTTGATCATGCTGTTTGTGTGTACTCAATGATTGGTTTAACATAACCAGACCAGCATTTCGTCGTGACTACTTGCATGGGAGTTATTAAGGAATTTTCTTTCTACACAAAATCATACGTGAAATCAACAGTCTGAGTTTCATTTTTGTATCTGCAGCTGGAAATTTTGGCCCATTCATTTCATGTTCAATAGTAAAGAATGAAAACCCTCAGTATGGCACTTTGTATGACTATGCTACAATTTAGTTCGCCAAATCATTTGAAGCCAAGGAGTCTTTTGGAGGTCTCATACATTAAGCCACTACAAAACAAACTCTTTTTTTGCCCCTTCCAGACTGCACACTCAAAAGATTTCTTTGGCTTTCACCGCCACCACCTGTCGGCCCCCTCTGCGGGGAGAAAGCTTGCTGTTCCCACTCCATTTCAGGTTGCCTTTAAGAGCATCTCACAAATCTCTCTCTTTTTTTTTAATCCTGTCTTTGGCTCAAACAGAGATCATGTTCACCTAGACCTTTGCACAGGCGGTTTGAAGCCTGACAGTGATTTCATTCGGTGATCACAGAAAACATCAGAGAGCCTATTCTTCTCTTTCACTCTCACTCTCCCCCCTAGTCCTAGACTCCACCTAAGGATTCACAGGTGAAGATGCAATTACGTCTCTGCAAAGGCTTCCGGACTGCAGGAAACATTTGTGTGTGTGACAAAGAAATACACTTAGGACTTATTTAGTTTCTTAAATGCTGTGACTCTTTAGGCATATTGCAGTACATTTAACATTAAGTGGGTTCTTTTTATGTTTCCTAACTAAAACTCGTTTTGTCCTCACAGAGTCCTTCTGCTTAATTTTTTAATCACAGTCTGAAGAATATCAGAAAATATTTAGTTTTTAGGTGCTTATTCAAATCAGGATCTGAAGCAGACATTTTCTCCAACATTCCTTTTCAGCCTTTTTTTGCTTACCTCCATTCATATTTACCGTCTTTAATACAGAAGCATTCCAAACTCTAAAATCTCATCAGCTGTGCTGAATCCTTCCTCTGTGTAAGATGCGGTATCTTCTTCTCCTTTGTTAAATTGCCTTTGTACATTTACAAAGAAGTATAAAAAAATATTAATTTGTCTATGCTCTTTTTGTCTTAAAATCATTCCAATTTCTCTCTATATATGTATCTATATATCTTTTCCTGCTGTGACTCTATTTTTCGTACAATTAGGAACCTTACTTAACCATGTCACTGCACATTGCTACAAACACGTAATGGAAAAGGCGGCATCATTTCTAGCAATAATTCCTGAAGCAATGATATCTTATGTCGCTGCATGAATATCCACTGTTACCTAAAGTCCAAACAGTTTATCATCTACTCTTGTAGTCCTGCTACCGTTGACGATTTTACTGAGTGGCATTTAGCACAGTGATAAAGAAAACATTCTCCTAATACTCCACGAAATGTGGTTATGACTACACTCCATGGCACTAAGACAATTATTTTTTTTAATGCCTCAGAAATGCCAAACAGATATCAGGCACGTCATCCGCTTTCACTGTCCTTAACCTGCACGCATTGTCCATTTGCAGGTGCTTCCCCACAAGCGTCTCCGATTCATGTTTCCAGTACCTTACTCCCAACAAGTAAAGCTTACAGGTCTGAAGTCGCCTGGATAAGGCCATCATTCTTGATCAGTGCTTTCTGATAAAGTGGTGCTGTCAGACCGTAAAGGAATTTTTGGTCATACTCATTCATCTTGCTGACAGAGGTTGCTGCAATGTAGTTAGGGCCAAAGTATCAAACATAAATGGGAACATTTTTGGAGAAAAACACTTTGGAATATTAAGTTATTTCCATCAGTTTCATAAATAAAACCACAGCAGTAAACTATTGAATGATCCCACGGTGTCTGGCTACGAGAGTTTTGTCTAACCTTTGCAATCTTAAAGCTTTTATCCCGGATTATTTTCAAGGAATAACACCGTCATATCTGAAGTGCTGAAACTTTTCTGGACTTGACTTAGTATGAAATTTGATTATTTCAAGAATGTAGAAGTTAGTACAAGTTCATTAAAACTCATGTAGCAAAGCAGGCAAGGTTTTGCGGTTCTTCCTGTATGCAACATTTTTTTCAAAGCCTTTTACGTTACAGGAAAAAAGAAAGTTTCAGTAAGACGGCATTGCAGGTGAAAAGTACCATTACCAGCAGGGAAAAACAATCTTGTAACAAAAGATGTGTTGGAGAATGGTATGGAAAATTAATCTAGGAAATAATTCATAAGAATACAGTGGACAGTTGGTACACTGGATACCAGGTATGGACATTTGCTTCACTAAGACGAATTGCTTCTTCAAACTCAAAAATACTTGAGGTTCCCACATGCTAGCCATGGAAGTTTAACTAAGCAGGTGAGCGCTGGCAAATGCAACGAAACAGCATCTGGAAAGAACTAAAAACAAACAAACAAACAAACAAACAAACAAACAAAACGCAAAAGTTTGGGGACTGGGATTCGTACCATTATCTTATGAAACACAGGAAGTTCAAAGATCTGGAAAGAGCGTATACGGAGTCCTTAATGTTCACACTAGACAGCTGAACTACGGTCCACTCCCTCTGCTTTATTTAACTTGCATTGTTACCAAACGCCCAGACATAAGCTACACAAAACATATACTATATGTCCCATGTTTAAAAAAAGAAGAAAAGTACTTTTAAGGTGAAATAAAAAGCATATGTGCCATGGAACACAGCTTGACAGAAAAGCTGCAGTTCATGCAAGGTTATCTGAGTAAACTGTGAGAGCAAGGAAGAAGAGAGCATACATTTATATTACACTGTGTGCATGAAAAAAGTATTTTGCATGTCATGATTTTATAACTATGTTCTATATAGCCCTACAGCCCTATCTGGTTCTAATTAACTATAGCACAGCAGCTAGCCAAGAACAGTATATTTTAGTGTCATTTTAATGCTCTGTGAGGAACACAAAAAATTTATCACAGGAAACAGATATTGCAGTCTTACTGGAAAAAAAAGAGACTTAAAAAATTTTTTTAGTTGCAGTGATGATCAAAGCTTTGTATTTTCACTAAATGCTATATTATTTTACATTTATTTCAACTGTTACCACTACAAATAAAGTTATAAAATACGTATTTTAAAACATCTAGTGACAATTAACAGAGCATGAAACTCAATCTACATATATGAAAATTACATCTAGGATTGTGGAATAATTTAGTATATCTTCATAAAAGATGTTTTTATGTATGTCATTCATCAAACCCTTATGGAAATGAATTAAGCAAAATTTATTAAACATTCCTATTTAATGTTACTTTTTCGAAATTAAACTTCAGCTACTGCTATCCACTGAATTTAAAATCAATTAATTCAGAATGAGGCGCCTTAGTAAATTTTTCAACTATGTTCCCGATAAAACTTTCATTTACAAGCAAAATGCATCAAGGACAAACATTTCCAAATGCAAGTACTGACAATGATACATCCCAAACACATTTAGGCATCAATGCCCAAAAATACCATCTTAATTTCCTTTAAGGTCTGTTGGTACTCAACAGCAAAAGTGTTTTTTTGCAACGTTTCAATGGAATTTAGTGTCTAATTCCAGATGTTCAAACTCAAAAATCTTTTGTAGTAGCTTACATTTGTCCAAAAAGGCAATACTGGCGTCAAGGTAAACAGAAGTCTAAATTATTCTTTTAAAGGTTTCACTGAGTTCAGAAAAAGCATTGAGTAGTAACTAACTGACATATCTAAAGGAAACATTGATATTTAATGCAATTATTTTAATATGAAGCTGCTTTCACCCAAAACAGAAATCAGTCAATTAGCAAAACGTACATTTTCTTAAGCTAACCTCTCCTGAGGCTTTACATTAAAGTATTTGGGATACCTTTAATGCAAGGCATGCACCACGTACACTGTAGTAGAGTTCCTATTATGAAAAGTCTGACACAAATTATGTAATAATTATGTTGGGTAAACCATATAACACACAATTAAAAACTGAAAGCTGACCTGCTGGAAGGCAGCTCTGAGGGTGCAGAGCATTGCCAGAAGGTCGAGGGGGAGAATTGTGAGAATCCTCTTCCACTAGAAAAATAAAATAATAAAATTGTTACTGCCAAATATGCCTGAATATCAGAATGCTTTGAAGTGCAGCATTTGATCACTTCTCTGCTTAAGAACTTTCCTCTCTTTAAAATATAAATAATTGCTGCTATATCCAGGAAAGATTTTCTGAAAAAAAAAACCAGGAAGAACTAGGCAATGTTTGTGATCTGAACTGTTCCTCTCTCTAATTCTATGACAGTGTAAGCTATAATCACTAGAATTTATTTTATTTATCCTTGTTTTAAGAGCCAAGTCAAATACAGGGAAAAATCTGTAAAACAGTACATACAGTATATTAAAAGATATTTTATGTCCAACAGCGAATACAACTCAAAAATACGTATGCCCTCTCCAACAAGACCCCAGGCAGAATTTTGCTCGTAATGCGTGCTTTACAGTGCAGACTCTCCAATGACTGCAGGTTCAAGCTATCTTTTTGCACTCTATAATCTATACCTATAGGACTAATCTACTCTGTGTCCTACTATGTAGATTAGTCCTATACTGCAAAAATAAATTTACATTGTGCACGTTAGGCTGTTGACCTAACTTTTCCGTCCCACTACTTCATTCTATAACAGTCCAGATGACTGAACATTTTAACTTCTGACCAGCTGTGACAAAGCTTCCAAAAAGAAATTTTACATATGTAAAATATACTTACTCCAGTTATAATACTATCAGTGGTTGTCTCACTTTTAATTCTTAAAAGAATTCTTAATTCTTTTAATTCTCATGAAAAGTGTCCCAAAAATTTGTCTCCTTTGAAAGATTTCACTTATACCTGCAGACTACCCACAAGTCTTCAGTAGAAGGAATCAATTATAACAGATACTGAAGAGGAAAAGCAGGACTAAGATATACTTGTATGTTGTAATGCAAGTCAGTGACAAGGCAGAAAGGACGTATTAAGGTCCTTCATTTATTTAAGGTCTAAATTCAAATGATCTGAGATATGAATTCATACTGATTATCTCCTTTGTCTGTATTGTTTTCTCATGAGTGTAACTGCATGTAAGAATTTTAAGAAGTTTCTAAAATTGCTATAATGATACATAGTTAACAGTGTGGCTCAATGTAAGGCTACCGTAGAAGTATAATTCGATATGTCATATCTTTTAAATGTTTACCTAAAATGGTTTAAATTATCTTTGTTCAAAGCACACCAATTTTGCATTTTAATTTAAACAGAAAAGCATGCTTTCTCAAATCATTATTCAATTCAAGGTATACATTAATAATCCAGTCCGCAGTCCTCTGCTACTTTTACATGTAACGAGAGAAAGCAGTATATAAAATTATGGATTTACTGATTAAACTACCAAGTTTTAATTCTATGATCATGCAATGCCAGGCTTTTGTACAAAGCTTTTTAATTCTTACTTTTAACTGAATCACTTTTCCTGTGGGTCTCACTCTTTTGAAGAATATGGACTGTCTGCCCAGTTGTTTTCCCAATTCTTAACAAATCTGGAAAGAAATATGGTCATCTCTATGAGTTGTTAATGAAAGTTTCGGAAAAAAATACAAATCGTACAGCTTGATGTTTTCACATTTATAACTTAAAGAATACAAAATTAAATTTCTAGTAGGGAATCTCTGAACGTATCAGTTATCTTCAGGGTTTTTTTTTTTTCGTTTGTTGGTTTTACTTCAGCAGCTGCAGCCTGTCAAGTCCCAGGACAGTGCTCCTCAACACAGAAATCTTATTCTTACCACAGAACCACAAATGCATCCTCCGCTTTAACCCGTTTCACTTCCTAACAGGTTACTGTTTGGTTTGAAAGATCAAACTGTCAACAACACGTGGTAGCTCCTGCGTGCTGTTTCTCTCTTATACCTCTTATGGTAAACAGCGCGCAGGAGCTACCACGTGGCGCTGACAGTTTGAGCTGTCAAACAGCTACCATGTGTTGACCAAGCAGACCAGGACTAGGAGACCAGTTCGAGGAGACTAGGACTCCAGGCAAGCTTTGGTAAAAAATTAATTCCTAGAAAGAGGAGCGGAAGATGGGAGACAAATAGATAGGCGCACCGCATGAGCATATACATACAAGTGTCTGAAGAAATCCATACGCAAATAGCGAAGAACACAAATACGTACTCTCAGATAAAATTTCTAGCCTTTCTGCATTCTCTGGCAGAGTAGTGTACCACTGGTTAGCTATTATAGAACGAACACCAGTAAGGCTTAGAAGCATCGCTGTCTCTGTTGGTCTCTCCAATGCAATACGTGGACAACTAAAGAAAACCAAAAGTAAGAGATTAATAAAATAAGGAAGTGCATAAAACGCTGTGTACAAATATATCAACAATGTAATTAAACATATGATACTTCTTCCTACAAGGGGAAAGGGAATTTTATAAAACTGTCACCATACAAAGAAAAATGCCAGGCCACATTTTTCTTGTATGCTAAGCATACAGTAATTTTTAATATTTCATACAACACCTTATCTTTAATACCAAGAACTATGGTAACGTTCTCCTTACATCTTTGCACGACAGAACTTACTCAGTGGATGGCTCCCTGTCATAGTTCTGTTTTGGACATCTTAACAAATGTCAGTAGAGGAATAAACACATTAACTGCTACAAAATACTGCAGAATATATTTTTATAATACAGTGAAAATGCTGGGGAAAAGGTGAAAAGAACTGCTTGGTTCTGTTTCAGATCCTGAAGGGATAAAGAAAATATCACATGAAGTCAAAGTTTCTCCTTCGCGATGTTTAGGATTAGAATGAGCATGGCAGTAATTCTGAATGCTTAAAACCAAACCACCACTTCTAAAGTGAGATTCAAATTTCTTCTGCTGAATATTTAAATTCAGAAGTGTTTTAGTATTATTGTTTTAGTGATGGGAGCGAAGTGAAACTCTGTAGCATTTCAAACTGCAGTAAATTAAAAGCTGAATCTTGCTTTTGTTAATCTCAGCTTTTCACGGTAACTTCAGCAGAAGACAGTAACTGAAGTTTTCCATGATCTCTTTGGGAGACGCTAGCCATTAAAGTGAGACTTCAAAAGCAAAGAGTTGGAAAACTCATTTCTCTTGTTTCAGGAAGTGACTGTTTTCAGGAGAGGAAAGAGGATATCAACAATAAAAACACTAGGAGTTTTTCAGACAGTCAGAAACCTGTGTATATATGTACACAGGTGCATATATCTCTTGCTTGCAATTCACTCCCACTTACATCGTTGCATTCATTAAGCTTGTGAGAGACTTCTTGCTTATTAGCTATATTTTTTAGGAAGAGCTTTTTTACATTTCTTACTCATAGAATGAATAGTCAGAAAAGTCAGAGGGATTTCTGCAGACCTAAGAGGATTAGATACGAGCTTGAGTTGGCTGCATTAATATGACTGTCCCACCAATGACGTGAATAAAAGTACATACATTTTGATTTGTTCTGTGCTAAGAGTATAATTTGGCTATCTGAAAATTCACCATATGCTAAATAACTCATGATTAACACCAGGACACTAAAACTATCCTTCTTGCTTTTAACATCTTAAAGTTATCTGTAAAGTGGTGCTATCTGTCAAGAATCCATAATGGACATACAACAGAAGTATATGAGCCTTGTCACCCATCAACTTAAAAGCAGGAAAATACTAAGATGCTTTCAAACCTAAAAGCCCTGATTAATAACACTGCAGAGTCTGAAAAGGTCATTTGGCATGCCAAAATAATTTATTTAAATAAAAAACTGGTTGACTGTTAAACTATTCAGTGTATGAAATTCTAGAAGGACTCTTAACAGTTCATCTGGTAAAGGTCTTTATATATTTAGATGTTTACGTTTATCTGTTTTCAAAGATCTTTATATCTTTGCAGAATCTTGAGCTCAGAATTGGCAGGTTAAGGGTCACATAGCTAACACTCCGAATCATATTTTCTCCATCATTACTGTGCCACTCACCTTTGATCCTATTCAGCCCCTACCTAACGAATGGAACAAGAGGATAAAGAGGCTAACTCTGCACTGAGATGTGGTTATGAGCCTTTCTACTTGCAGAAGTAAATGAGAATATTTATGACTTAAATTTTTAACTTTGCTTGGAAGTAAAAATAATCTGCCTTACTGTCGATTTTACAAAAGTAAATTTTATCCTACCTTTTGTGGATATCGGAGTTTGTTACTCGCTGATAACTTTGCTTTGATTGCACCAGATCTAAAAGTATCATCAAATGGCATTCTAGGAAAAAAGAATCCGTTATAGTAACAATATTTGCACTGGTAATAATATCTAACATAATAAATGCAAGTAAAACAGACCTTTTTTAAGTCAATGACTTTCTCAAAGCACAGTGTAAACAGCTAATATAAAATTTATATTTTTCAGCCAAAATTGTCTAGTCACATATTAAGGAAAAGAACCTTAATAACATCATATTAACATTATCTGATGTAAATTTGCTTTCCCATAGTGTCTAGTGGGTTTTTGCCTATGCCACCTTAGCATAATTAATAATAAGGTCCATGCCCCATCTAATTACAGCTAGTAATTTATATGATTCCATTCTATAATCATAGAATCTTGTAAGGTAGAAGTATGAAAAAGTTATTGACCTTATCTCTCTTCTTCAAGGTAGGACCTTCAAGGTGGTACATCTAAAACATTCCTTAAAGATATTTTCCTTAAAGCACTACAGTGAAATAACTTGGAATCAAAGATATCCTCCAGTTCATCATCCGAATGACCAATAAAAATATACTATAATATTGGACCCAGGTTAGAGCGAGCCCTCAGGAACCAAGCCTGACCTAGTCTTCCAGTTAGACTGCACACCACTGAAAATTACACTCCCGAGCACTCTTTCAACCATTTTTGCCCCCCAATCATTAGTAAATCCCACAATACTGGATATTTCCCCGCCTTGCCTACAGGAATTTCACATGGTAGAGTCTGATAGAGTCTCACATGGGGCAAAACGTACGATTATTACTGCATTCATAAGGCTTATTACCATGCTGTGGCAGGAAGCGAGGTTAGTTCACTGCAGTTTGTTCACGACCGGTCCTGACCTGCTCGTCTTCTTGTCATCCTGAACAGTACCCATAACTACGTTATTTGATTTCTTATTCCAGTGTATTTTCTGGTGAAATTATGTTCCCTGGCCCTCCTTCATCCTCGCTTTTTAAAGACAAGAAGTAGGTTTGTCTTTTCCAAGTACTCTGGAACGTCCCCTGCCCTCCATGCACTCGCCAAGAGAATTACTAACGGCTCATAGATCGCAGTTTCTTAAGTATTCCATGGTAAATATCATCAGGAAACGCAACAAAATTTAACTTCATCAGACCATGCAAAATTTAACTATCTAATGTCTTCTTTCCTTCGGTTAGCTTAAGCTAAGCTAAATGAACTGCTTAGGCACAGCAATAGTTTTAATCAAGACGTTTCAGCGCAGATCATTGTAGGAGCAAAGAAAGCATTACAGATTTTTGCCTGTGGGTGGGATCCAAGCTTGCAAAACTGCTCTGAGCAAAAAGGCCTCCATATATTTTTATAGAAAATGAAACGCCTGACGTTCGCTAAAGAATATCAGATTACATATTCAAAACTTTTTATATGCTATTTATATCATCCTGGAAGATCATCACAGTACTCTAATAACCAAATACGATTTTTCCAAATGTAGTCAGTTTTTTCTGTCAAATCACGGAACAACTAGAAAAGTCACCTGCCAATAGTGCTCTCTATGCATTTGCATTGTATCAGGCTGTATCTATACCAGTGAACTATACAGAGTCGGGGCTTTGGCATGAAGTCATTCGTACTGTCTAATTATTGGCATGTTCCTTGCCAAGGTTTTTCCCCAGCCCAAGTAGCACTGCCCAAATTTTCTGGGACATCGTTCAAGGAACATCACAGGCCATGAACGGTCCGCAAAAGGCAGTCTGAATGAGGCAATCGTGCGAGGAAGGGAGTGCAGCTGTCCGGCAGCGAGCCAAGGTCCCTTCGCTGGCCAGAAGAGCAAGAGGGAAAGCACAGACGTGAACCATGCTGCACTCGCCTGCAGAAATACTGAACGAGCCTTAACTTGTTTTGTTTACTGTTGCAGCTGTAGCCTTACAGACTTAAACATAGGAAACTGCAATCACTCTAAAAAGTGAACCACCATTGTTAATAATTACTCGTAGCCCTTCAGAAAACTGCGGATAACCAGAGCAATTGTAAAACATTCATTTGTAGAGAAAGTGCATCTTTCAGTGATAGAGAACTATGATGTACTTGCAGACACAGATCATGTTCTCTAATAAAAACATTTTTTAATGTGAAGATTGACTCCACAAGAAATTCAATTCAATCTGTCTGCTAGGTAACAGTAATGCTGTTGGCTAACAACTAAAAGTTGTGCAAGTGGTCAGAAAACAGAACTATCCTTTCAGTAATACATCAGTGCATTTAAAATGAGTTTATTCTCCATTAAAGGCAATAAGATGCACTGGAGAATTAATCCTGACGTATTTTAAGTGCAGGGCAGAGGGTCAGGATTGCCAGGTGCTCAGGAACTTTCCAAAAGTGCCTAGACCTGTAAATATCTGGCCTGTAGACATCTGAAGTCTCATTTTCAAAAGTCACTAAAGCATACAGGAAGACACTTTTTCTTGATTTCCAGTAATATTTACACATACAAATGTTTAAATCACTTTGAAAAACAAAGCGTCCCGAAGAAGGTGCCGGCTGCATGACTTCACAATCCGGCATGTACTGTCCTCAATTTCACGTTGTCAACACAAACTAGAAGGAAGCTAACAATTTAGCTGCTCTGACAACTTCAGTTCAACTCTGAAGTTCAGCTTCTTCAGGACGTGCTAGGGGAACAGGAGGACAGAGGAAGACTGGGAATCCAAAATACCAGTCTTGAGGCTGAGCCTTGTGCTATAACAGCAGAAAGATTAATTAGCTGTGAAGAGGCACAAAAAAAATTACCTTCTCAGAGTCTACGAAGGCTCCCTAACACAGGGAAAATCATTCAGTATTAATCTAGTCTTCACGGACAGTCCTGCTTTGCCTGCGAGGGGGCAGATGATGGGTTTTGGAGAAGTGGTGCTGCAGAGGTTGTTCTTAACAAGAAGAACCACTTCGTTACCAAATACTCAGTTCAAGAGAAAGGGAGAGGAGCTGGTGGAAAGATCATCAGATGATGGCTCAACTTTTGGAACTTCAGAAATACTGTCATCATTTGAAATTTCACCATTTGGAAGCGGAGAAGGAATTAACCCATTTGTGAGGAATAAAGAGAAAGCTGTGCAACAGAATAAACTAAATGAAAAGTTTTTTCAGTTAAAATCCTCAACCTTGGAAAAAGCCCTTCATTGCTAACGTCAATGCTTCATAATGATATAGCATGAAATAAATACAATTTTGTGATTACTGGAAAAAAAGAAGTGGTGTAATTAAAAAATATTTTGGAGTTTGCTTATCTCACTTGGGATGTTCATAGCAACCAGTCTGTTGAGTAAAACGTGAGACAAGAATCTCTCCATCCCATAGAACAGAAACGCACTGCAGTTAGTCAGCAACTGCTCCCATTCAGCTTGGCTGCAAAGAAAGCAAGTTATTTTTTGTGTTAATATTTTACAAGAATATTTTTCAGAAAACATCCATAGCAAACATTTTTGAGTTACTTACTCTAGAAATATTTATTAGAAAAGGAAGCATGCAGAACAAGGAGACAAACAAAACTGCAGAATTCTGTGAAAAGACCAGTATCTCATGTAACTGTTGCATAATAATTAGTTTAATAAAGAGGTAATTTAGCAACATCCCATAGCAAACAATAGACAGACTGTATTTTTTAGATAACTACCAGACTCTCAAAAAAAACCCCAACCCGTTGAAGTATGCATTGTATAGCTTTGAAATAGCAGTACCTAGTCTAACATTGAAAGGGAATATTCGTACATGCACCCTTCAGGGTATGAAGGAATAAGATTCTGAGAAGAGGTGCAAATATATTCACCTTAGCTGGCAGCAAAAACTGTGCAATCTGGCAAACCGTTATATCTTTGAAACTGTTGTGAGAAACACTAGGACACCTACATCACTATCACTAGCTATTTAACCTTACTGGAGAAGATCTTAAAGCACTGATTTAACCAAGAGTTATAAAGAAAGGTCCAGGGACTACTGTGTTGCCTCATTACAGGACTCATACCGCTTGCGTCCTTGAGATCCCTTTTAGGCCTCTATCTCCATGACCTTTAAAATTAGACTACTTCTATAGAGAGCAAAGGGAATAAACTGCATAAAACTGTATTAATTTCACCATCAGACATTTGAAATTGTAAACTGCAAGACGCATCTTCAGTCCTTTGTTTCTGAAATCTGTGCTCAAGTCTCATAGTTCACTTGGTGCGCATGGAGATGCTACGGTTTTTAATATTTGGTTTTAAAAACAACTACAAAAATACATTTTTGCATAGCTAGAAAATACATTTAGGCCTATACACGCTTATAACAATCACCAAGGACTGCACCAGTAGACATTTTGTCCAAAATCAGAACATGTACATGTACAGCAACTCTGATGCAACCAATTTGGCTATATCCCTCTGATGGCACTGTATTCTAGATCCTTAAACTATTCTGCCTACAGATCTGCAGACACTTTTGAAAGAAAGCTACGTGCTTTCTAGCTCTTAGCACCATGCCACCCTCTTTTTTGACTGAGGCCTCGGAGAAGTAGCACCATTATAAAAAAGAAACACAGACAAAACATGAAAGCAGATATAATATTACAAACCTTGGAACATACGCGTTACCAATAACTCCTTCCCACCGTAATGTAAATGGGTCGTGGTATTTTGCTAGGATTTCCTTTATTTTTTGTGAGGGACTTACAGCTTCTGTAATATTAACATTTTATCATTTTGAGCTTAGCACACTACAAAGTACGATGCACAGTCTTAATTCCAAACATTCAAAAATGACAATATAATATTTAGCCTTTTTAAAACTATCATTAGATCTTAAATTTTTCTGATACGGAAATCTGGTTTTTAAAACTGATGCAATTGTGACATTTTCTCCAACCAGTGGGGAAATAATAATGGCTTATAATTGCCACTGGAAAGGTATATTTTGCAACTGAGAAGGATAATTCAATAGACAGCTCAAAGACTGAAGAAGCACAAAGAATAAACTCTAGATACCCTGAGAAAAGTGTCAAGAGTTGAAAACACCAGTATTGCTCATGCAGTTCTGTTCCAGGGACTCAGAGAAGACTGAAGTAGATAGAGAAAATAAATCAGTTTCCAGAGCCTTTAGTTTAAATCAATTCAGAAAACACGACTCCAAACTGACCTACGTTCTCCAAGCACATTGCATATTTAATGATAATTCATCTTCTCCTTTTTGATTACATTTTCATAATACTTGTCAATTAAAGATACACTCAAGGCCAGATGTTAAGGACATTGTAAACAGCACTAAATTTTGATCTGCTGTGAAGGTGAAACTGCAAAAATATGGAGATGCGTACCATTAGGCTACTGACTGTTCAGGAGTCTCCTCTGCGCTGAGATTCGGTTTAATCAGCATCTCAATTAAAGACCTCTGTTAAATCATTTTTGGCATTCTATATAGATGTGAGTTTATTAACAAACGTGACTCTGCTAAACTACTGTGCATAGTTGGAGAAAAAGTGAGTTAAATTGTATTATTAAAATATTTTGTGTCAGTCTGAATTAATACAGCAAATGCTTATGGCCTGGGTGAATACATTCTACAAGAAAATGGCAGCCATTACAGATATCCTTACTCTAGTATCTGTCTATCGTAGTACCCTTCACCTCTCAAAGGAGTGTAAGATTACACGCAAAGGCTTTACTTGTAACATATGCTTTATTTATATATAAGTATAATTTATATTTGTAAAGATTAATCACATAGTTCTGTTAATATTTAAAATATTATACATTTATGTTTAAATTAAGTACACCATATTAAAAAAATACTATATTTAAATCATAAGCTTGAGATATGCTGTATAGGCGTGGTGAACCCCACTGTTCCTGCCCCAACCCCCTCCCATTCAGCACTGTCTGTTCCAAGCCCATTCACAGATTTCATGCAGATTTCTTCTATAACAAAAATTATACAAAGCATCATTTCCTTTTAATTAACTTGTATCCTTCCCTGCACTACTGCGATAGTATCTTAATAGTATATATTTGCATAATTAAAAATGTGATAATAAGTTCTTGAAAGAAAGCTCGTGTTTTCAATTTGATAATATAATAAGAAAAATTACTCAAGTAATTATTTGTTCAATGTTTAGTGATATGAAAGAAATAATAAGACAAACTAATTTTCTTTCCTGAATCTGGTTTTATTGTTTCATTGATGCACCACTGGACTGATGACTATGCAATACTGTCCTGATGAAAAGCTAAGCTCTTTTGTCAACAGCTCAATGTCGTGACTTCATTTTCTGTTTCCTTTATTTCTAAATTGAGTAGGTAGTTTGAGCATTTATTGAAATTGAGCAAATATTACTTAATATACATTACCTGCTTCTCTTCCTTCATTATAGGGATCCACGACATCTGATACACAGTTAAGTGTAAACAGTGAAATGAAAACAATGAAGACTATGAAAGTTTATCTTAATTGATACACTTAGCTAATAGTTCGGGAAAGGATACATTTAAAATTATGGGTATCAACAGATAGGCAATTAGAGGGTAAAACACGGTTAATGGGTGCCTACAATTAGAAAAAACATGTATTTTCTTTTACAAGCAGAATTCTTAGGCAGGTATATCAGTATTACATCCCTTTGTCCAACACCTAGCAAAAGATGTCCTGAAGTTTTGAAGGCGAGACTAAAAGCAGCATGATATTCAATTGCCAACTGAAATTAAAAGCATAAGCTATACTGCATTATATACTATGTATGTATATACACACGCACACACATACATGTGCATATATATATAAAAGATACATTTATAAAAAATATGGTTATATACTATATACAATGTCCCATATTTTTAGGGGGAGGTAGTTCCAGTAACTTTAAGCACCTCCCTTGGTGGATTGTTAAATATGTCACATTTACACAAACAGTATGATTTTCAAAGAAACAACAACTCTGTAGTTACTGCAAAATCAATAAGAAACAAGATTCTTACGGCATTCTGTAATATTTATTCCATTTCAGACTTCTAACATATATAATGACCTTTTATGCAAGTCATCCTTAGTTCTTCTCATGAATGCATATCAAGAAAACTTAAACAGAAAAAAACCAGAAACTACTACAACTCTCTAATAATATTTTTTACAGATTAAGAAGAACTTACTCCTATTGAGTTTATGTAAAGAAGTAGGAGAGTTTACCATTTTGACCTTCTTCTGATCAGCTTTTGGTTTTGGTTCTTTAGGCATCTCTACATGTTTTTTTACTTCAGTTTCTGTAGAATTGAAAAGAACAAGTTTTTTTTTAAATAGGCAGTTTTACAAAACAAAAATGTCTTGAAAGATTATGAGTGTGATAACAACAGATTAAACTAGAGAAACAAAAATTCATTTCACGTAACAGCAACACGAAGACATTCCACAAACCCTCTCGCCTAAAAATAATGACTTGAAGGAGGTAGGAAGCAAGAGACGTTATCCCTTAGACAGGCACATGCTTTATTACATTTAGGAGGATAGCGTTGAACAGTAATTAGTGGAGCACTTCCTAACCCTATCAGAGTATCTCTTCATTGCTGATGTTACTGGAATAACCACAGCTTCTGTGAAATATGCAGAGAGCACAAGAAAAAAGTATCTCTCATTTGAGTCAGACATATAACAATATGTGAATGTGTCTGTAGATTAAAAATATTTTAAACCCAGATTATCCACACTTTCTTCTCTGCGGAAAGGAGGGTTGGAACAGACAAAAACAGGACAGGTTATGCTGAAGGTGCTAAATATTACAGATATGAACACAATATAGGAACCTCTGTGTAGCAGAATAATTTCATGGTACAAAGTGAAATTTTCTAATCCTATCTTTTAGTTTAGACTCACTAGTTTTAATAATGTAATTTGAGTTTAAATGTGTTTTTATCTTTTTATGACCAATATGACTTCAGATTTTTATAACTTCAATAACAGATAGATACATTTGTTTTTGATTGATTGCTACAGAAAAACTGCCCAGTACTTGCATTTCTCGCTCATTTCTAGAATTGATCTTTAAGATGCCATAAGAAAAGTTAATAAAATCAATTAAAAATCTGTCAAACTACTTCATTTAACAAACTCATTCCACTGAACAGATTATGTAGGGACCTCCCCCTCAATTCACTGAACCCATGCTTTCCTATTAGAATCACACAATTGACCACAATCACACAGAATTTCTTTTATATAATTTAGTATATATCAAGTTTTACTTTAATTGAAGGTAATGCTCCTCACAACTGATATATATTTCATGGAAGAGCATGAAGGTCAGGTTTGTGACTCACAAATTTGTTAAGAAAGCAAGTACATGTTTCATCAATTAATGTTTTTCATCTGGAGAAGTCAGGATTCTTCTATACAATCCCTTATTTCAATGATTTCAATGGAAAGTGGATTAAACTAACTGTGCTTCCTCGGAGACAGAACCCTGGGCTCAGCAGACCTTTGGTCTCATCTAGTCTGGCCGCTCTCTGAGGATGCCATGCTTCCAGTCACAGAATCACAGAATTACAGAATAATTTACTTTGGATGGAACTTTCAGATGCCAGCTAGCCCAAACTCCTACTTGAAGCAGGTCTAACCAGATCAGGTTGCCCTGGGACTTGTGCAGCCAAGTCTTAAACACCTCCACGGATGGAGATCTCACAACCTGTCTGGGCAACTCACTCCCGTATTTGACCAGTCGCTCCCCTGTACACCTCTCTTCTCTGCTCTTCACTGTGTATTCCCTTGCAATCTACGCTCTTGGTTTGCTTTTGTGAGCTTTCCTTATATTTGGCAGGTTTCAGTAACTTTCATCGGTATGAAATCGTCTTCTGCCCTGCCAGGCTCCACCTTCAACAGCTGCAAATGGCAGCACTAGACTTCATCAGTAGCCCTCTCCTGTTCATTTTGTTATTCAAACACTCAAAATGCCGCTGCTAAAAATACATCTATCTCAGGTTAATGCTAAGCAGAAGAAGAGGCACAGACATAGGCCAGAGACAGTTTACTGCAAGAATTTGCAGTTATGAAAGCAGTCCCTAAAGGCTGTGGGATCGGATCTAGGTCAGCTTGAAGATGTTCATCATTGGTTGGACAGACAGATAAACAGTAGATGCTCCGATGAAGGGCCGAACAGCGCTCCCAAGTTCTGTTAGGCGCTCTCTACCAGAAGCCAGAATGGTCTGCTGACAGAGAATGCCGCGGCAACTTGAGATCTTATGTATATGAACTCCACCCAGATGACTTTTGCAGATGGAAACCTTTGGACTGTTAGTTTCATCATAATTAATCTGTGAAACATATGAAACAGAATTCCCTTTCACACATTTCTCAGACTTTCTGATCATAAATTTTGCTCATGTATAGCACAAGGACCGCTGAATTGACCTGAGCCCTTAAGGCAATCTTAGCTATACACAGAGGAAGTGGCTCAGTGCTTTAAAAGTTTGTTAACGTTTGATATTTTGAGCAAAGTCATACATTAATGTAAGTATAAATCCTTTTATTTTTTTCAAAACTTCACAAGCCATTTTAGAATCCACTGAACTTTACTTATTCTTTCATAGGTACAGGCCATTTTAAAGTCGCTTGCACTGCAAGTACAATACGTTACTATATAATACATACTATACAATACGTTACTACTCCTTGCATTACCGTACATTACCAATATGTCTACTTATACTGTGTATTCCAGTCAAAATACTAGGAACTATATTGAACAGTGTTTCCATAAAATACATTATACCATTCATATTCTTCACATTGTAAGTATCTTGTTTACTGCATCACCAGAACGTTTATCTAATAGTACCTGATTCTTCTACATGGACTCGATTGTAGAGAACCTGGAGAGAAAAATCTCTGGATACAGAACATACACCTTCCGCTTGAAAGATACTCAGAGCTTCCAAAGGCAATTCCATAAATAACGCATCTGCCAATAACACCACGCACAATCCTAACTCCGTAGGTGTACCTGAAGAAATATAACAAGACTGGGATTTAGTTATTTCTCAGTACGTATTCCAACAATCTAAGTTAGCTGTACAAACTTTCTTCTGTTGCATGATGCCCGAAACCCATTTTACTGTGGATGAAGAGCGTTATACTAAAAACATTTCTTTTGATATAGCTCCCCCTAAAACCTTGTCAAACTTCCAAGCATATGCATTTGTGAGAGAGAACTCTTCAGAGGGAAGAATATCCCCATATTAATAGCCACATCATCCCAGACCAAAGTCATGTGTATGCAATGTATGCAAGAAAATGATGTTTGGAAATGCAAAACTGTTCTGTTTGGCTAACATATAAGAGTTTTAAAGGAGCTCTTATCCAATGCTGACTATATCATTCTGTAAGAAATTTTGTTTCTGTTATTTAGAAAGAGGCACTGAATATCATTATGGCAACATTTTCCTATTTGGTACAGAGAAACAACACGTACATGAAAGAGTATCCACAGTCTTTCCGGAACGACAGAGGCAGCCAGCTGCCAGGTTGTAGAAATAAAACTCTTACAGACAAAAACAATTGCAAATGTGTATTTTTGTTTTAGTGATTTTTAAATTGGTAAACTTCACTACTCCCCATCATGAAGCAAAAAACCCTGTGAGAGTCCACAAGTATTGTGAGAATCCACAAAGTAAAACGGAGGAAAATACAAAATAGAAAGAGATATCAACAAACCGAAGGAAGTTCTCTCTCTATTGGCCTTTCTCCTGAAAAGACTGATTTGCAATAAAGTCATTTCTTTTGGCTGTCTGAAGCCTGCACAATTCAGAAGACTGCGGACGCACGCAGAAGCACAGGCCACTCCAGCATACGCACAGTCTCTTTGGGAGTACACTAAAATACTACATTCAAGAAAATGCATCCAGATAAAACTGTTAGCAAACCCTTTTTTTCCCCTCCCTGGCTTCTGAAGAACTGAAACTATAATGAAGGTCAGCAATTTTGATATCTGCTCATATATGGGGCTATATATACTTACATATATTATATCCGTGTATTATACTCCAGAGAGCACATACCTTGTATTCCTGTGTGTTTGGCATCCTTATCTTTTACTTTTATTTTTCCCGATTCAGCT